GCACAAGTCAGCTGGCATTTGGGCCTGGTCTTGGGGAAGGCCAGACTAGGCCAAGTTGCTGAGCCTACTGGCACGAGAGAGTGCCAGAGTAGGTGTGGGCTGAAAAAGCTAGGCCACAGCACCCATTGAAAGGTGCTGGGACTGGGTGTAAGTCATGCCAGAATGGACCGCAGTGCCCCCTAGCAAGTGCAAGATTCAGGGCTGTGAGTGTGTCTGGTGGGGGAACTTTGAGCATTTATCTACTGGACTTTACCTACTGCTGATAAGCATGAAAGCCAGTACTGGGGGCAGGCTAGACTGGTCAAGGTGGCAGTATCCATTGGCATGTGTTCGGGCTGTGTCTGGGGATAGGGCTGGTTGAGCTAAGCCACAACACTCATCTGTGTGCATGAGAGTTGGATGGGATGCAAGACAGGCTAGGTTTGGCTGCAGCAGAGATTGTCACAAGCAAAAACTGGTACTAGGTGTGGTCCTGGTAGGAGTTATTGGGGCTCAATTCAAAAAGGTGGTGGCTACCACTGTTGTGCATGAATACCAGGCCTCTGGTGGCCTTGGCTGGGTTAGACCACAGTTCCCATCAGTTTGTGTGAGAGATGGGAATAGGGACAGAATTGACAAGGGAGTTGCATCCACTGGTATGTGCATTGGCTGGTGCAGGTGACCCTGTCCTGGCTGGCACACGCAGAATCAAGTTTGATGTTACTCCAGGTAAGAAGTTATTCTTGAGTCCCCAACTAGATCACTAGACTTAAACCCCGGCTTCAGGGAAAAATCACAAGATATATGGTCCAATCTTGGAGTGCATGTGTCAGGACTTGGCGACCACAGTTGCTGATGTCTGTGCAGTGGACAGCATGCCTAGAGGCACACAGGGAACCTGTTAGCCAGATCATCTAGGCCAGTAGAGGAATGCCTTGTTAGAGGATGTAAAGTAGAACAGATCGGATCACTCTCTTGGCCAAGCTTTGCTGCAAATATCTAGGTCTGTGAATGCAGATTGAAGTGGACTTGGTCAATCAATAGACCTTGGAAAGATTTCCTCAACCCTGGTGCAATGAAGGTGAAGATATTTCAGAACTATCAAAACCATTTAGGTAGGTAGCACCTTTGGAACACTCCTCCCCACAATGTGGTCTCCAGGGAGACATCAAATAACTGCCCCCTTTTCCTGGGTATTGATGTGGTTGGACAGCAGGGAGTAGGCCCCCTTTTTTCCTCCCATGGACACAGGTAAAAAAAAAGAAAAAGGAAAAAGGACTGAAGCATTTGTCCCATTCATCTTACTTCATGCCTTGATCTCCCCCACCCTAATTGGAGGTCCACATGAGTGTGTACCCGTGTCAACTACAAAAACAATGATAGGGCCCGGCGCGGTGGCGCAAGTGGTTAAGTCCTCGCCTGGCACGCCCGAGATCCCATATGGGCGCCGGTTCTAATCCCGGCAGCCCCGCTTCCCTTCCAGCTCCCTGCCTGTGGCCCGGGAAAGCAGTCGAGGATGGCCCAAAGCTTTGGGACCCTGTACCCGCGTGGGAGACCCGGAAGAGGCTCCTGGCTTCGGATCGGCATAGCATCGACCCGTTGCGCTCACTTGGGGAGTGAATCATCGGACGGAAGATCTTCCTCTCTGTCTCTCCTCTCTGTATATCTGCCTTTCCAATCAAAAAATAATAAAAATAAATCTTTAAAAAAAAACAAAAACAATGATAAAAAGAAAATTAAAAAGTAAAAAATAGGGGCCCTGGGCCCGGCGCGGTGGCGCAAGTGGTTAAAGGTCCTCGCCTAGCACGCCCGGGATCCCATATGGGCGCCGGTTCTAATCCCGGCAGCCCCGCTTCCCTTCCAGCTCCCTGCCCGTGGCCTGGGAAAGCAGTTGAGGATGGCCCAAAGCTTTGGGACCCTGCACCCGCGTGGGAGACCCGGAAGAGGCTCCTGGCTTCGGATCGGCATAGTATCGGCCCGTTGCGCTCACTTGGGGAGTGAATCATCGGACGGAAGATCTTCCTCTCTGTCTCTCCTCTCTGTATATCCGCCTTTCCAATGAAAAAAAAAAAAAAAATAGGGGCCCTGTGTGGTGGCCAAGGGGCTTAAGTCCTTGACTTGAATGGGCTGGGATCTCATATGGAGGCTGGTTCTAATCCTGGCAGCTCTACTTCCTGTCCAGCTCTCTGCTTGTGGCCTGGGAAAGCAGTTGAGGATGACCCAAAGCTTTTGCATCCTGCACCCGCATAGAAGATCTGGAGCAAGTTCCAGGCTCCTGACTTCAGATTGGTGCAGCACTGGCCATTGCGACCACTTGGGGAGTGAATCATCGAATGGAAGATCTTCCTCTCTATCTCTGCTCCTCTCTGTGTATCTGACTTTGCAATGAAAATAAATAAATCTTTAAAAAAAGTACAAAATGAAGATGAATGCATTAGTACAAACTAATGAATGTAGAAAAGATTTGTTTTCTTATTCATAATGAGCACAACTGGGAGTGTGAGACTGTGAGGTCTGGATCTGGATTCCTGTGCTTACTCTCTTGTCTCAGAACGGGAAGAAGCATAAAATGGAGTGTAGTTAAGTCATGTTTATGGACAGCACAGAATTCTAGTTTTCATGGGTTTTGTTCTTGGAGTTACAGGTCTTCTTTTTTGACCCATGCATATCCTCATAACAATGTCACACCCTTTTAGGAATTGACTTGAACTAGCTATTCTTTCATTTCAATTAGGAAAAAAGAAAGAAAGAAAGAAAGAAAAAAAAGGAAAGCCTAACTGAAATGTTTAAAATTTCTTTTGTCACAGTGAAAACAATTCAGTCATGTCAGCTGATACTCCTTCTATGTAAACTCAAAAATGGAAAAGCAAGTTGATGATTCTGTGTGTATGTGGCTCTGATTAAAAAGGGTTGTCGGGCCCGGCGCGGTGTCGCAAGTGGTTAAAGGTCCTCGCCTTGCACGCCCCAGGATCCCATATGGGCGCCGGTTCTAATCCCAGCAGCCCCGCTTCCCTTCCAGCTCCCTGCCTGTGGCCTGGGAAAGCAGTCGAGGACGGCCCAAAGCTTTGGGACCCTGCACCCGCGTGGGAGACCCGGAAGAGGCTCCTGGCATAGCATCCGCCCGTTGCGGTCACTTGGGGAGTGAATCATCGGACGGAAGATCTTCCTCTCTGTCTCTCCTCTCTGTATATCTGCCTTTCCAATCAAAAAATAATAAAAATAAATCTTTTAAAAAAAAAAGGGTTGTCTCTGAGCAAGTGTCCCTCCAATGCTAGGGGCATATACATGCATCCTGCCTTACATCTTTAGTTATTATCTTTAGATGTATCTTGCTGTCTCTGCCACTGTCTGCTTTCCATATGTATTTGTTCTTCTGCTCTCCTTAAGAGTATACTCAGCTAACCCATAAGGGGCCTCTGATGTTGTACTTTCCTGTTTCTCACCTGCAAATTCTAGTGTTCCCTATGCAGAGGTGTGCAATTCAGGTTTGAGATGGTTCTGGCGGCTGCTCAGGATGTAGTGTTCCTAGGCAGGCTGTTTTCCAGAAGTGATACCTGACTCTTTCCTCTGTAACAACGATGGGTTCTTTGTGGCACTATCTTCTTCTTAGAACATATTATCCATATGTTATCTCATTTAAATTTTTAGAAAGGCTTATTTCTTTTTATTAGAAAGGCAGATTTTACAGAGAGAAGGAGAGACAGACAGAAAGATCTTCCATCTGCTGGATCACTCCCTAAATGGCTACAATGGCTGGAGCTGGGCTTCGTAGGGGAGCTTGGGAAACTCCTCTCCTAGGCTGTAGCTCCTGCTGGTGAGCATGAGAGCTGGGGCTGAGGCAGGCCACTCCAGGTAGTCAAAAGCAGGAGCCAGAAATCTCCTTAGGGTGCAGAGTCCTAAGGCTTTGGGCTGTCTTCTACTGATTTCCCAGGCCATAAACAGAAAGCTGGATAGGAAATGGAGCAACCAGGATACAAACTGGTTTCCATATGGGATGCCAGTGCTTGCAGATGGATAATTAGACAATTGAGCCATAGCACCGACCCCATTATTTAAATTTTGTAATAGCTAAACACTCTAAGAAAATTAGAGAGGTTGAAAGTTTAAGTGATTTTGGAAAGCTACAAAATAAAAGATGTTAGAGTGAGGCAGAAATTCAGCCTTCTCTTTTTTACCGTGGTGAAAAACACTTGACATTGGGCATAGAGGTTATGACGTCACTTTGTGTGTTCATCATCTGTGTCTGAGTGTCTGGGTTTGAGTCCTGGCTCTGCTTCTGATTCCAGCTTCCTGCTAATGAGCACTCTGGAAGGCAGCAGCTCAAGTTCTTAGGGTTCCAGCTGCACATGCAGAAAATCAAGATTGACCTCCTAGCTACTGGTTTCAGCCTAGTCTGATCCTCATTGTTGCAGGTGTTTGAGAAGGGCTGGGGGATGTGCCAACAGATGGAAGATCTTTGTCTCTCATTTTCCATGCCTTACAAATAAATAAAACAGAACGAGTAAGGAAAAATTGAGGTAATGCATATCTTGAAATGTATTGTCTTAACCATTTTCAGTATACATTTCAATAATGTTAAATGTATTTATGTTATGAACCAGCTACAGAACTTTTCACTCTGCGTATTTGAAAGAGCAAGCTCATTAAACAATAATCTACCTTTTCTTCCTCTCACTGGCTCCTGGAAACTGCTAATCTACTTATTATTTCTATGAATTTAGCAACTTTGTATACCTCATGTAGGTGGAACTATATAGCATTGGTCTTTTTGTAACTGGTTAACTTGATTTAGCATCATGTCCTCAATGTTCACCTTCACGGCAGCAGGCTACATGATTTTCTTGCACTTCAAAGTTGGATGATACTCCACTGTGTATATAAATCATGTTTTGTTTCTCTATTCATCCGTGGATAGACATTTGAGCTGCTGTAATATCTTGGGCTATTCTGAATGATGTTAATATCTCTTTGATATCCTGGTTTTGGGGGGGCATTTTCAGAAATAGAATTGCTAGACTACATGAGATTCCATTTTTAATTTTTTGAGGACCCTACATAGAGTTTACAAGAGAGGTTGTACCATTTTCCACTGACAGTGCACAGGGTTTCATTTTCTCCCCACATTTTCAACCATTGAAGAACACATGCCTGGAGTGCCAGTTTGCCTTCGGCTTCCTCCCTGTGACCTGATGAAGGCAACTGAAATCAGCATCTCATCTGAGAAGAGGAAGGCTGGTCTTTGGAGTCAGGGCTGAACTTCTCTTGAGTCCCACGTGGCTATCGACCCATAATGTTGATCATGACGAGAAAATTCCAAGGAAAACAAAAGACAAATAAAAGAGAATTCCAAATGAAATGAGGGTTCTTGTTAGTTACTTATTGCTTTTTCAGGTGCATTACTCAGAAATTGGGTTGGAAGCAGAGCAGGTAAGATTCAAACTAGCACTGCGACATAGAATGTGGCTGTTCCGTCTGAGGCAGTGCCTTAACTCGCTGTGCCACAATGTCCTTCCCTAGAAACTAGCTCTGAAAGGATTAAACTATTTAAATTGATTGAGTCCCAGAACAAAGATGAAGAATTTATAAGCATACAAAATTTCCACCATCAATGGCTGGCATCAAATTAAAAGTTACCAAGCGTAAAATAAGCCTGTACTGCACAGAAAAATAAATTTATAAAAAGCTACCTCAAAATGATTATAATACAGTTGCAAGTAAAAATGATGGATATCAAGTAGAGACCCTGAACACAAAAAGAAATTATTCAAACTTTTAGAGACTAAAAAATTATCTGAAAGCAAAACATAGGTTTCTGAGCTTGCTTCTTGGTTTCACCATTTACTAGTAATCCCAAGTTACTGGATCTTTTGAGTCTCAACAACCTCATCTGTGGTGTGTGGATGATGTCTCGTTGCAGTGCTGTTGAACTCAGGTCACTTGTCTAGCATAGCCATGGGCTTTGGGTGCAACAGTTAAGATGTTGCATGGGGGCTTCATTTCCAGCTTCTCTTTCAATTCCAACTTCTTGCAAATAAGCACCCTGGGAGGCAATAGGTGATGACTCAAGCGGTTGGGTTCCTGCCACCCATGTGGGAGATTAAGCTTCTAGCTTTGTCTTATTTCAGCCTTGGCTATTACAAGCATTTGGGGAGGAAATCAACAAACACGAATTTTCTTTTTAAGTTTCTCTCTCTGTGTGTCTTTAAAATAAATTAAATGAATAAATAAAAGTTCAAATGTTTAGCATGAAGCTTAGCAGATCATGAGTGCTTCATAGATAACACGGAATACCATGAAAACAAGTGGGAAAAAGAAATCAGCTACTCATCCCCACTAGCTGTGTGCCACATATCAACAATTTTCAAAGACAGACTCCCAAGGTAACTGTCAGTGGAACTTTCAATGGACTAAGACAGAAATAATAGGTCTTATATACAACATCTATGAGACTTAACTCAGAAAATTGCTACTCCTTTAATTTTTTTTCCCTCTCTCTTTACTTCAGCAACACTAAGGATTGCTGCAGCTGGAAGCAGAGAAAGGAGGATGGAAAAGGAGTAGGCTGTGGCAGTAGAAGGTGGGATGCTGCTTCTTACAAGGGAGGGTTCTCAGCACAGGCAGGCTGCTCTTGCCTGGCCAGCGGAGGATCGCCTCTCCATGCACCTGTGAACTGGCGCTGCCAACACTGTGCTCAGCATCCCGTGTGCACCACCACCCCCTCACCATATCTGAGCTCAGAACGTGGCCTAATCTATTTTCCCCCCTTCTCTTAATAGATTGGATCACAAAAGCCTGAGAGAGAGTGACCTGCCGCACAAAAGGGCCTTTGAGTTCCTTGGAAAAGTAGACTTGGAGGAGGATGGAAGGAATCCAAGTGGCCCTATTATTTCCACTTGCACTAATTAGACATTTTTCTGTCAGCTATTGAGCACTGCTGAGAGGCCAAACTCACTGAATTCATTTCTAAAGTGTTTACAGAAGTTTGCATCTGTTTGTGTCTCTTCAGGAGGAAAATAAGCACTTCAATAGCATTGTGGAAAGTCTAAGAGGAGCATCCCATTCTGGAGGGCCTGGCATCCCCGCAGCTGCATAATTTAGCTCTACTCAGGACCAAAACCTCTCGCATCCCTCTCCAAAAACTAATGATGCAAAATGCAGAGAAGGCAGAGGAGAGGTGCTCTCTTCTTTTCTTTTTCCTCTCCCTTTCTCTCAAAGCAGAGACGTGCTGGGCGTTCCATGTAGGTTTCGGGGGTATCATGCTTGGGCCCCTCTCGCGTGCTCCTCCCGGCTCTCTTAGATACTAATACCCACTTTCATTTGCTGCCAAGGAAAGGGATAGTGCATTCCTGAGCAGCAGAGCCGAATGCATCCCCTTTCCTGGGAATCACCCAGAAATGTGCTCGGGGGTAGGGGATGGGGGTGTACTGACCGCAGCCCACAGTGCGGAGTGAAAGGAAGCCAGAGCTGTGGTCGAGAAGGGCGCTGAAGGGAACGTTTCCCTAACGTGGTAAAAATTGCCTGGGCTGTGCACAATTCGATTAACATGAAAGAGAGCCCCTCTCCCTCCCCTAACCCCCCAAAACAGAAAGAAAAAAAAAAAAGAAAGAAAACAACACAAAAACCCTAACCCACTGACTACATGGGCCGTGCCTTTGAAATGCATATTGGTCTACAGGGAATTTGATTCAGGATTCTTTTTGTTTGTGTTTTCAGGCCCACATCTGACTGGCCGTCACAGAGGACTCAAAAATGGGATCTTCTTAAGCAGTGTCACAGTAACAGAATTGTAGTTCCCCAGACGACCCCTGAGTATCTCACCATCAAAAGGAAAATGCTACCTCTCTCAGAGGCAGAGGCTGATGGGCGAAGTTATTTCTCCGTAGCCACCAAACTGTTTTTTTTTTTTTCTCACTGAATGATCATGTTTTAAATTAAAAAAAAAAAATTCTGGATGTATCATACCAGAGCATGTTGCGTTTCTACAGAGGCTCAAAAATGGATGAGCTCTCTCTCTCTCTCTGTCTCCCTCTCTCCACACACACACACACACACACACACACACACACACACACACTCAGCAGTCATTTTACCACATCTGTTTTTAGGGTGGGAACTGTGGTATTCTAATTGAGTTTAAGGCTCAAAGGGAACTTCATGGTTAGGAAGCCGAGTCAGGTGGTAAAGGAATTAGACTCCACAATGAGATTTAGATAAACAGATGACTGCAAAAAAGCTAAAGAGGTTTTTTTTGAGGGACTTTTGCTCAATAGTAGCAAGAGAAAGTGTGTGTTGCTTTCATGGTTCTTTGCATTAACACCAGCCCCCTCCTGATGCTGAGCATCAAGTTTGGGTCCCAGCTATGGGTTCAAAGCCATGATGTGTTCACAGCAATGACAATGGCAGCTGTTCTCAAGGGGGGCTGGGAGAGGGGGCAGAGAACTGAAGCCATCTGGCAGGAGCACTGTGAAGGGAAATTATTGCTGCATAACAAATTGGAAGATTGGGGTGGGGAGAGCAGGGAAAGATGGAACGAAGGGGAAATATCCCGAGGTGAGAAATTAGCTGAATAAACCAATGAAAAATGATTCTTGCCTGCATGGTTCTTCATCAACAGTAAAAACAGTGGGGAAAGCAGGACCTTATAGACAAACCACAGTCCTGTAACTCAGTGATGACCAAGTCTGGCATATTCCTTTTTGTCCATCCACTAAATGTGAGAGGGAGCCAAGGAAAACATCTTACTTACTTAATGTGTGAAGTTCTGTTAGTAAATATTTCATTGATTTTCATTCATTTTGCCAATGGTGAACCAGGCAGTTTAGGAAAAGAGTAGTAAGCCTTTTCTCTATGTCAGTACCTCATTCCCATCTTCTCAAATGTATTGTAACAACAACTAGAAATGGATTAGGCATAGAGCACAGTAATCTTGCTACTGGGTATCTATCCAAAAGACATGAACACAATGAATCAGGGATACTTGCTCCGCCATGTGTGCATTGTTCGCAATAGACAAAATCTGGGATCAACTGAGGTGTCCATCATCTGACTAAAGGATAAGCAAAATGTAGAAGCAATGGAATATTATTCAACTATAACAAAGAATGAATTCTACCAGTTGCAATAAAATGGACTCAACTGGAGGATATCATATTCAGTGAAATAAGCTAGACCCAGAAAGAAAAATACCACATACTCTCCCTTGTTGGTGGAAACTAAAATTTTAAAAACAAATAAAAAGAAGAAAAAGAAAGAAATTTCTCTATATTTTCAGTATTGTAGCAAATATAGTTTAATCAAGCTTTGGTTTGTGCCTTTATCAAACCAATGGTTAAGAATGCTATATTGGAGGCCCAGCGTGGTGGCCTAGCGGCTAAAGTCCTCACCTTGAACGTGCCGGAATCCCATATGGGTGTTGGTTCTAATCCCAGCAGCCCCAGCTTCCCATCCAGCTCCCTGCTTGTGGCCTGGGAAAGCAGTCGAGGATGGCCCAAAGCCTTTGCACCCTGCACCCGCACAGAAGATCTGGAGCAAGTTCTAGGCTCTTGGCTTCAGAGTGGCTCAGCATCGACTGTTGCTGTCATTTGGGGAGTGAATCATTGGACGGAAGATCTTCCTCTCTATATCTGCTCCTCTCTGTATATCTGACTTTGCCATAAAAATAAATAAGTTTTTTTTTTAAAAAGAATGCTATATTAAGGAAAGAAAAGACATTTTAAAAAAGAAAAAAATATTATACTAGGATAGTTTTAAAGATCTGTGATTACTTTAAAATTTACTGTATATGGATGTAGTGGTCCCTTTCATTGAATTATTGTTTATAGTCATTGCTTATAATCCCTCTTAAACCAAGGAGCTTTTGTTTTTTACTTGTTCAACCATGTATTCTGTGGGGAAAAAGACAACCTGCCACTGATGGAGCTGGATCCATGTTATAGCAAAAACAGCAGCAGCAAAATAGACAACCACTCAACCAGGAGCCTGACGAACTTCATGGTCCCCAGGAACTGCGGATCTGCTTGTCTTCCTGTCTCTAGAACCAAGGATCCTGTGGCCCCTGTGACTCGTGGTGATGTAAAAGCCACATTGATAATTCACCTAGCACACTGGCTTCTCTCTCAAGCTCTTATTCCATACCAGCTGTGGTTTGGATATCTCCAGCCAAAACTCCTGATGAAACATAATCCTCCAAATGAGGTATGAAGAGGGTAGGAACTCCATCTGACCATAGTACTTGGAAGAGGGACCTTCAAGAAGTCATTCAGGGCAATGAGGTCATAAGGGCAGACCCTAATCCAGTGGGACACTGGGTTTATGTGGAAAGAATGTTCTGCCTCACCAGGTGATGCTCTGCACTGCCTTGAACTGTGTGGAGTTCCCACCAGCATGAAGACCTCACCACAAGCAGCCACCTGACCTTAAGCAGCCAAGAGCCAAGAGATGAATACACTTTTCTTCTTCTTAGGTTACCCAGTCATGGTAATCAGTTACAGTGTTGGGAAAGATGAAGACCACACACGACTTCAGTTACCTGTTGCCATGGCCAATTCTACTTCAGTACCTATCAGCATCTCCAGTCCAGCATCAGGTTCTCTAATATTTGTTTCCTATTTTTCCAGTTCCATCCTTCTGCACCTCGGCTTCAACAACGCTGCAATCCTTCTGGCCACACGTTCTGCTCACTTTGCTGTCCTGGACTCCTCACAACAGTCCTCTCTCATCCTCATTCACCTCTTAAAATGCTATGATGCATTGAGATAATGACTTTTCAAGGGTATTTTTTATATGATTTATTTGAAAGTAAGAGAAATGGAGAGAGTAGGTGAATGAGCAATGGAGATCTAATATCTGCTAGTTTACTTTTTGAATGGCCGCAAGAGCAGGCTAAATCCAGGAACCAGGAACTCTACTGTGAACTCCCATGCGAATAGCAGGTACCTCAATGTTTGAGTCGTCTTCCTCTGCCTTCCTAAAGGTATCAACAGGAAGCTGAACTAGGAGTGGAGCAGGCAGGACTTCAGTGACTCTCCAATATGGGATGTTGTCACGAGTAGAGGCTGAATGCACTGTGCCATACTGTGCCACAATAGTAGCCTCCACCACACACACACACACACACACACACACACACACACACACAGAAAGCACTCTTAACCCTCATCCTTTTCTGGTTCTGTGCCATACTGTGCCACAATAGTACCCTCCACCACACACACACACACACAGAGAGAGAGAGAGAGAGAGAGAGAAAGCACTCTTAACCCTCATCCTTTTCTGTTTCCATCATATTTGCTGAAAAATTCCAGTAATGCTTATTGTTTGTTAGGGAAAAGCCATAACCTCAAATTAGAATCTCTTGAGAGGATTTTCAAAAAGCCCATATTCCTGTTAGCTCCCTAGACTAGCTAAGGAATGTACCCAGGCAATGGTGTCTTTTGAGTGATCCCACCACCACATGCAGCCAGAATTGAGAAGCCCAGAGCTCTCCACCTTGCAGCCTTCCTCCCTCTCCCCACCCCTGCCTTCTGGAAGTTGAAGGAGTTCCTGGTCAGGAGGTGGCACATCTGTCTGATTCAGGCCAGCATCTCTCTTCTCCTGCCTTCCTTCTGTCTCCCAATGAGGGCTTTCTGTTCTTCCAGCATTGAGAGGAATGCAGAGTGAATGCATCCCACTTGTCTGGGAGCTATTTACTCCTCTGTTTTGTGGAAGAATAAAGCTTGCTCTTTCGTGCTATATTGTTGTGTTCAGAAAGCTAAGATAAATTTTAATAATTGTTACTCAAGGTTTCAACATTATACCCGTTTCTCTGCTTAACTGGGCTTTCCATCTAGGTGAGTAGATCTAGCAGGATAAAAACACTTAACACTATGACACTTGGAAGAGGTATGGCTGTATCCTGAAATTGGCCCTCAGCACTGGTTGGCAATGCCAGCCACCATTCCACCTTCTGCTCTCCTCTCAAGCTGCCAGAATGCCTCCGTCCTCCTCACTCTTAGCTGATGACCTTGTTTTGTGTTTCACTAAGAAAAATGAGCCAATGGGAAGGGATTGGCCTGGTTCTTTTACTAAAATTTACCAATTTCTTGCCTTGGAACCCATATGTACTACCTGCCTTCCCACTGGTAATTTTCAGGCCCACTTCTTACATGCTGATTTTGATGTCTCTCTACATTATTCTGCCTGCAGACATTGCTCCTCACATTGGCATCATTAAGTTTCTCTTGTCTGTTGGATCATTATTACTGGCATACAAATAAGTTATAACATCTTCTATTTAAAAAAAAATCCTGTCTTGGATCCAGTGTAACTTAGAGGATAAAGCCTCTAAATGGGGATGCCCACATTCTATATTAAGGCAATAGTTAAATCCTGGCTATTCTTCCAATGATACCATTCTCTAATGTTCCTAGGAAGCAATGGGTAATGGTTGATAGACTTGGACCCCTTCTCTCCACGTGGGAGACCTGTATGGAGTTCCTCACTCCTGGCTTCAGCCTGGCCCAGGCCTGGCTGTTGTATACATTTGGGGAGTGAAGCAGTAGGTGAAAGACCTCTCCCTTTCTCTTTCCTCTCTTTCTCCCTTTCTCTCTCTCTCCTTTCATCATCCCCCTCTTCCTGCCTTTCTCTCTCTCTCTCTCTCTCTCTTTCTCTTTTAACGCTCCCACTCCATATTTTAAATAAAGAAATCTTTTAGAGGCTCTTGCAGCGGAATAGTAGGCTATCTGCCCATATTCAATGTGGGCATGTTACTAGAAAGAGACAATATGTACTCTGATTTGGAACCTATTTTCCAACCTTTTTCTATAACCCCTCCTGTCTCCAATTCCTCCCAGGCTTAGCAATAGCTATCCTGTTTATGTTGCTATTTTTAGCTTCCACATGAGGGAAAGCGTGCAGTACTTGTCGTCCTGTGTCTAGCTGATTCCAGTAATCATTAGATTGTCTTCGGTTTACATGTACCTGCAAAATTATATGTGTAGTTTATATCACAAATCATAGACACTCTAGAATAATTCATGAAAAAGGGAGACTGCAACAAGTTCCTTAAGGAACAGCCAGCTGTAAAGAGTATAGACATTTTCCCCCCATATAAAGATGAATGCTGCAAATCTCCCAGCCTTTTCTGCCATGAGGTGCTGATATCAGTATACTACTGAGCATGCATTTTGAAAAATATCTTTCAACTTATGAGGCTTGTGTCTTTCTTGACATACTAAAGATAATGCGTCACATATGAAAAGAATCCAAGACAAATGGGGATATTTTGATCTATTTAGAAACCTTTCAAATTAAGTTTGAATAGGGTTTTTGTCCTCTGTGTTAAAAAATAATACCTTCTGATTAATTTGCAGAAATATGCAGTTGACATTAGGGAAGGTAAAAATTTGCTGACTGTATTTCAACAATGATTTCTGATAAAGGATGAGTTTAATGTAAGTAGCATGAATTAATTATTCCAGACGACTATTTCTATTTGTATACTGTAGTACATAATTTTTCAACAACAGCATTCACTGAAACCAAGTGCTGAGATAGATCATATTAGCCACATTTTCATACGTAGTGCCAAGCCAATATTTTAGAAATGAATTAGGCATTCTATCACAATAATAACATAAAGGATTCTCATGTCAACATTGCCACTTTAAAATAATTACATTATGGCATAGAATATGCACATCATAAATAAATGTACTTGTACATCATGGTGTTCATTCAGAAGCTTTTTACCAGTGGAATGAGCAAATAAAAACAAATATGAATGGACCAATGGGAAAATGGTAAATCTCTTGTGATGCACAAACACAAAATGAAGTACTAGCTCTTTAAGAACCTATGAATTTATTGAGCTTAGAGCTCTTTGGCTTCTGTCCTTGCGACTGGGGTAAGCTCCTTTTATGAGGCAGGTAGGTGGCTAGCCATGATGAAAGAGTGGCAAAGGGAGGGAATAGCTGAGATTCTACTCCAGCTTCACAAACTTTGTAGCATGTCTTAGAAATCTCTCTTGAGCTGCCTGAGCCAATCACCTCGTCTGTAACATGAACATGATAAATTTTGTTTTTGTAGGACTGTCATCAAGATTACATGCTGCCCAGGGTATATCAGTTTGAATTATGAGCCATTGTGAGTATTTGATATTTTTTACCTTACAAAAGTGACATTTTCATATGGTCCAACCTGATATTAAATAGTGCCACCTACATGGAGATGACATTTCTGTCTAAGTTCTTTATGCACTTCCTATGTAAGATTCAAGAGGTGATGCTAATCTTACTTGCTGACAAGAGCAAATGAACACGTCTCCAGGATTTATTCTCTGAAGGTCACTGCTTTCTTTTGTCTGCCCAACACTTCAACCTGTTCATGTTGTGCTAGCATTTTCATCTGTGTCGCTCTGCCCACTTGTCTTAGCTGAATCAACCCCTTGGGACTTGGCTCAGCCTTCAGGCCTCATTATAGGGAGACGTGAAATTCATGCCATAGGGTTAGGCCTCATCAAAGGGATAACTCGCATGCCTGATTCTGTGGCAACCAAAGTTTTGTTGATAGAATTTTAAGGACAAGCCACCATTTTAATTTATCTTTTATTGAAACTTGAAAGTACCGTATTAAAAAGGCAGTTTTTGGCAGAGTTTTCTAGCAGGGTTTAAATCCTTGGTGATTCTAATCATACTCTAAGTCTGAAAATACATAGACCCTGGGACTAATATTTGTCCTTCTGAGACTCCATTATCTTGGCATCTGATTTTCATTTATTCAGTGAGATGTATTGTAAAAGACTATAAATCTTTTATATGGTTTATTTCCCAAACAAGGTAGAATGTTCAGTAGATGATATTAAGCTTCTAAGTGTTGATGATAAAAAATTATAAAATTTCTGTTTTAATTAATTCTGCTCTAAATGGAAAGTCAAATTATATTGACTGAAGGGCACAGAGCAAGTTATGGGGCTGCAGGGACAACAGAAATGCAGCAAGGAAAAGGCAGTCCAGGTCCTAAAATAGCCTGTGGAAAGGCTCGCTGGCCTGTGGATTCCTGTGGCTTTCAAGAGCAGATGCCAAGTGCAGTTAGGAAACCTGGCTGCTGTAGTCCTGTGAGTTCTACTAGCTCTCTATAAAATCATTTCTCATTCTTCGTGGCGGCTAGTTTTCCTGCTATGTACATGAGAGCACTTAAAAAAAAGTGTGGAGATGGAAGTAAAAGATAAGCTAATTTTGGTACAATAATTTTTCAAATATATGCATACATGGTATCTTTAAAAGTTAATTAAAATTCATATTATGTGGGGCTGACCCCAATGGCTCAACTGGCTAATTTTCCATTTGCAAGCAGTGGCATCCCATATGGCTGCCAGTTTATGTTTCAGCTGCTCCACTTCCCATCCAGCTTCCTGCTATGGCCTGGGAAAGCAGTGAAGGATGGCCCAAGGCCTTGAGACCTTGCATCTGCATGGGAGACCCAGAAGAAGCTCCTGGCTCCTGGCTTCAGATAAGTTCAACTCTGGCCGTTGTATCCATTTGGGAATGGAGCCAATGGATGAAAGATCTTTCTCTTTGTCTCTCCTCTCTATAAATCTGTGTTCCAATAAAAATAAGTAAATCTTCATAAAAAACTTGCATGGAAAAAAATCTATGCATGGATTTCAAAATAAATTTTGCACTGAAATAAACTTTGCTTTACCCCTATTTCCATGACCATTCTGAAGTTCATATATTCCGTAGGT